CAATTTAGTTTTACATTTTTTCGAACAATGCCTTTAGAATTTCTAAGTTTCATTTAGTCTTCAATAACTACTCCGTCATAAACAGGGTTTTCCCAAGGGTCACCGAGGATGGGCCTCGGTTCCGTCCTAGCGGTACTTTTTAGGACAACGTGCGTGTCACCTGGAGGGAAAAACCCCGGCGTTGCCGGCCTTCGAGATCCTCCCGTACTCATCGGTATCTTTTCCCACCCTCTTCCAAAAAAGGCGCGCTCAGGGCGCAAGAGAGGGTGGGCCCAAGTCAAGGGGCATGTTGATTGGAAAATCAACGTTTCTAATGAGAACCAATCAGCATGCCTCCTTGCACTTCCGACGTTTCGAGGAAGTAACGACGGAACGTCTCGTCAGAATTCCAACATTAGTCATCCGAGTCGGACTAAAAAGAACAAGGAAATAAGTCAATCGTTTCGGACACAAATCACGAAGTTATTACAAGTCATTCGTTTCGGACTTAGTAATAATTAAGAGTTACTCAAGCCAATCGGTACGGACTTAGCAACTTTTCACGAATCAACCGTTTAGGACGACTCCCGAGTCAATCGTTCGGACTCATATTCAATTATTATTCAACGGATTAATTTCTGTTGAATAAACGTGCGCGAGTCAGCACAATATCCATGGTGACGCGTTTCATGATTTCTCAATTCGTCCCTTGTGCACCATTATCTCTGTTCCTGTCGTTCCTGCTGCGTGCAATTCCGGTTGTTCTCATTTTCTATGCTGAATACGTCTTTTACTTGCCTTCAAAGCTGGGATCATCTTTAACTTGCGTTCAAAGCTGATAACCCATGCCATTTCTTAGAAGCGCAACTCTTATTATGCTGAAAGGGAAACTTCTGAGCCGAATTGTGAAAGAAAATAGAGATGTGGAGGGTAACGTAAGGAATATAGGGTAATCGCAATTTTCCATAATTAAGTATCATTGTATAATTTTTGAGCGCGGGTTCTAACGTTTGGTGTAATCCTTAAATTTCACGGGACATGAACCGTGTTAAGGGAGAAATCCCCAGGGATTAACTGTGGATTAGTGTACGCAATTTAGGCGTTATTTTTGCTGGAAAAATTATCTCTAAGAGCATTGTGCCTTCTTCGGAGAAAGGCTGAAAATGAAATTATGTTCGAACGTGTTCATCTTTTAAGAAATGAAGATGCAAATGAATTTATTTTTAATTCGACTGCATATGTGCATTTTGCGTGAATTAATTTCTCGATACACTGAACGTGAAAGGCAGTTTATTACGTTACAATATTGATTTCTTAAAAAATCAATAATTCATGAGGTATTTCGCATGAAAAATTTGAAACGTCTCACAAATTGTTAATTGTAACATTGAACCATAACAAATTTTTATGCAGAATACTATAAACAATCGATATACGTAAAAGGTATGTACATTTTTAAGGTAAATATGTATAGTTTCATTGAAACACATGTTTTTACAGTAAGTATATACAGTTTCATTAAAAAATACTTTTAAAATGAATATATGGAATGTTGATATAGTAACGTGTAGTTGCGTGAATCATTCAATGCACGAAATATAAAGCCACAGGAAAATGACTTTCTTAATAACGATCACTGTTAGCGATCGATATAAAACTAAAGCTTCCAACAAACCAGCGATCGTTTATAAATGTCATACAATAGATAAATATTCATATGTCCGACATTTATATCGAAAAATCATAGAGTCGACAAAATTTATCACCATGTACACGTGAGATCAACACAGGCTTTTATCGAAGAAGGATATACACATACAGATGTAGACATGAAAATTTTTCACTTCCGAAATTTTCATTTTCCCAAATTTCTGAATGTTCAACTTTTCGAATTTTAGAATTTTGACTTCTTCAAATTTCTGAAATTAATAAACTTCTGAAGCCTCAAATTCCCAAATTTTTCAAATACTAAAACTTCTAATTCTTCAAATCTATAAATTCCCAAACTTCTTTGCTCCAAAATTACTAGATTACCGTATTTCTAAATCTTCAACTCTCAGAGTCCTTAAATTTCTAGACCCTGAAATTCATGGTACCGCAAATCTCTTAATTCTCATATTTTAAAATCACTAAACTTCTGTATCCTTCAATTTCTAAATTCGAAAATTTCTAAACTCCCAATCCTCAAATCCTAGATTCTCAAATTCCGAAATACCTAAATCTTTACAACCCCAAATCCTGGGTTTCCCGAATTTGTATACTTCCAAATTCTAAAGTTCCTAAATATCTTTATCTTTTCTAATCCAAGTTCTTAGAGTCTCAAGTCTCTCGATTCTTAAATCGCAAAGTTCCTAAATTTCCACACTCACAAATTCCTACATCCCAGAATTTTTACGCTACCAAATCCCAATATTATAAAATGCTTATATTGCAAAATTCCTACATCATCAAACCTCTAAATTCCCAAATACTAAAGTCTCCATATCTCTACGCCCCAAATTCTTATATTCCTAAATTCTTAACCTCATTTCCAGACGTTCAAATCCTCAAAAATTCCTGAATGTCACTGAGTTGAGATCTCTCTTTTTCTTCGGTTGCCACATTTTTTCGCAGAGAAGGCATGTTTGCTCTTGACTGTACATGACGATCTCTGCCCTCTTTTCTAAACGAAGGTTGTTTTTGTCTGACTCGACCTAGCATTCCTTCCACGAAATTTGTTTACCTCTAGGAGAGGCACATCTGCGTATACAAGTGTGAACCCATCGACCTGTGTTCAGTTATTCGCGAAACAGTGCACGAGGAACGCGATCGAAATGTTCAGTGAAACGCTATTTCGTCTGTGAGGAGCAGCATGCATTTCTGAGACACAACTGCAACAACAGTGGAGGCTGACGTCGTTGTTCCAGTGTTTTGCCTCGAACGTGTCTTCAGGGTTGGGTAAGTACACACAAGTTTCTTGTAGCTTAATGCGATTAACGCAATTGAACGTCAAGATTCAGGATAGAAGATGTACGTGAGTAATTTACAAATTAATACTTGTGTAATTATAATAAAAGATTGTTGAATAAGTATATTTTCTGTGTGGATTTTTAATGAACTTATTATATTATTACTATCAGTTATTTGGTTTTAGTAGTTCGGTATTTCGGATTAGAGAATAAACAGTTGCTTAAAAAGAAGAAACTTTTTTGAAGAAATAGTCACTATTTTACCGTTATAAAATAGTGTTTGTTACTATTCTGCTATTTTATTATTTTATTATTCCATTAGTTTATTGGTTTACCTTGTCAACATTTTTATTTTTCTACTTTATTACTTTATTATTTTAGTCATTGCTAATACTGTACTATTCATCCATATTATTAGCACATTAGTTTACCATTTTAGCGACTTTGATATTTTACTATTGTCCTATTTTATTAGTGTATCAGTTTAACATTTTTTCTATTTTATTAATATTCCTACTTTATTATATTACTATACATCATTTTATTATTTTTCTCATTTTTAACATTTAACTTAAGTAAAATTAAACTATTTACTTAAGTAAACAGTTCATTGATTTATCGTTTTAGTATTCTCTCTATTTTATTACTTCCTATTTTATTATTCTATTAGTTTGCCATTTTATGATTTCCTTATATCTTCCTATTTTGCTATTATGCTATGCTGGTATTCTACCATTTTATCATTTTCACCATTGCTAACATTGCACAATTTTTTCATTTTATAACATCAGTCCTTTATCATTTGTTCATTTTTTATATTTTATTACATTTCTATTTTAATATTTTACTATTTTCTAATGTATTGTTTTACGATATTTTCCTTTTATATTATTTTACTGTTTCATTCTTCCACCAGTAATTGATTGAAGGAATATTATCACACAAAAAGAAATAAAATTGAATATTAATAGAAAAGTTAAACATTTTAAAATTCAAAAGAACTTCATGCTAACATATTCAATTACTCGTTAAATAATATAAAGACCTGCCTTGTTATATACAAATTTAAACGTGAATTTTATCATTATGAAATTTAATATTCTACTTTACGATCAATTTCACTTTGCACATAATAATTTCAATTTTCAGGAGGAATTCATATTTAATATTAAACTCTATCTTTGGGCCAATTTGCTTTATACTTTGCGAATATTATACTTATTGCAATTTCAAATTTTTAAATTGCCAAACACTTTGAGGTGTCCATTACATGTATAACAAACAAGTGCATAGGAGTTCCTTGATACTTTTCAATCATACGAGAAGTAGATTTTATCGTAAACGTTGTCCTCTCTCTTTTTATTTTCATTTCAATATTCCATCGATTAATATTTTTTTTTCCTCCAGTATCGAATTTTACATTACACGAAGAAGTAAATATTTTACTTGGACGATGTACAAGTCGAGAATAATATTAGACGATGGACACGAAATTAGTTCAGACAGGGGAACGATTGATTAAAAACTGATGTCAGAGGTGTTTTAATCGTTGCCTACGGGTAAGATCGATCGATCGAATTTATTTTAACGAACAGAGTCGAGTCACGGGGAAAATATCGAAGCTCGGGCTGCCCGGGGTTTCTCAGCTAACGAATAATAGATCGCGATGATCGAGAGGACCATTTATCTTCCATGAATCACGGAAGGAAAGGAAGGAATAATGACAAAACGCTTACCTTCCCGGAGCCCCTTGAGTTGCATAAGAGAACACCGGCAGCGTGGATTCTATATTCCTTGTCGAGTTGCTCGTGTTGTCCTTGAATTTTCCTGCCGGCAAAATGAACGGAAAATTGCGTCTTAGTACACTGAGAAAAATATCTTTCACGGTAAGTAAAATAATTACGAGATGGTACGCTTCATTGAATAATCTCATGAAGCGAAGGAGAACTTGAGACATTTTCTACTAGGATGTTGCGTATGAAGTTACATCTTTCGAATCGTATTAAATCCAAGGTTATTTAACGATGTAAATGTGTAGAACAATACATACACAGTACAACTTTACACACATAGACATAATATAGAAACTTTTAACAGAATAATATATTAATACCTTTTTCAATTTCAAGTTTTTAGAACTTTGGAACTTTTAGATTGCAGAAGTTTTGAAGCCTGAGGTTTGGAATAAATTCTGGTATTTCCGAATTTTTAAACTTTGACACTTACATTGATAACATAATTATGTAATATAATAATAAAAAATTTTATGTAACAATTTATATCATAAATTCTTTATTTTTAAATTATATTACTATTATTTGTATTGGTATATTACTCTAGCCTTTACATCATAATATTATATAATATGATATTTACATCGTTAAGGCTGGAAGCTAAAAATCAGTATTTTAAACTACCAAAATGATCAAATGACAAGTTTTCTATATCAAGTTATTAACTTTGTTAAGATAGTATTCTTGAAATTTGTGTTGATTCTTATTAAAATATAAAATTAACCCCTTGCCTTATGATTTGCCTTATGAAAACTAACTAATCACAGCTACAATATTAAAACAGATAAAGGAAATTGAAATGTTATCTCAAGATTAATCCAGTAAGATTAATCACAGTCGAAGTGATGAGTCACGTGTCAGACTCGTCAAAGTACAAGGGGTATACATATTTATTACGACTAATGTATTCTCCATCGTTTGTTTATTTTTCAACATAATTTTCAACTTCTAAATAAGCGTTCATTATACGTCGGTAGTTTAGTATTAACCTTATTGCATCCGAATTGTTATTTCTTCTAGTACCCATCAGCAAGTGAATTACAATCAAAGATATAATTACTGTACAGTCAACAATCATTGCCATCGAAAAAGATACACATTAATAACCTCCTCGTTTCTAACATATAAAACAACCCGCCGTGAATATCATCTACATCGTTTTAAGTATCTTCTTATTAATCTTTCACTTTTCACACACCGATGGCATCATAACATTTTCATATTCCAAGCGCCTACTCTCACCGTATTCAGTGGTTTTATCTCGACAACATTTTCACGAACACTTTTCAAACAACTTCATCCTGTAGAGGTCCATTTGTACCAAATTCACGACTAGTCCTTTCGTATGGCCTACATATATTCAGATTCTATTTAACGCTTTAATTTCGTATGCAGCATAGTAAATCACGCCAGAGAATCTGCACTTAATTCGCACCTTTTGGAATCCTGTTAAACGCCTAAAGAGGCTTCACAGGAACAGGTTGAAGTCACGTTCGACTCTTGCTACATCTTTTTTCTGCTTCTCTCGCTTTGGGGAACGAAAAAATTAAGCGTTAAAGGGAGAAACGTGTAGAAGGACGAAAACACTCTCGGTGCAAGGAATTGCCTCCCAGTGATTTAGCAATCGAAAAAGTTCCATGGTTGAACGCGAACGTCTCCGCGGAAACTTCGGCAATTACGCGAAAACAAACAATCTTACCAATTCATGGCACGAGCTTGTGTTCTATCCTCGAACGTAAATCACTAGGATAGTAAAGTTTCGAAAGTGAATCGTGGAAATCGAGTACTTATGCCGACTTCGATCTATTTTATTTAATAAGATTCGTACATTATCTTTCCATTATACTTTTGTATTATAGATTCTTTTTATGGTAAATCATTAGTTGAGGCTATTGGAATTATTTTTCAGACATTGTGAAGTGTAATTTTCTTTAATAACTAGGGAATTTTTAACATTTTGTTATTTTGGAGATAGCGGACAATTGAGAATATTCGATATTTGGGTTTATAGAATTTTAGGGGTTTAGAATTCGAGAATTTTGTAAAGGACCCCGCACAGATCTTATGGAAAACAGCCCCCGGTTAAATTAGCTGAATTTTTTATATGATGTAGTTCATGATGTCTTGATCAAAAGTTCCAATGGTAGTCTCGAATAAGACACTATTATTGACTTTTGATCCCCCGTATCTCGGAAACTGTTCAATTTACGAGCTTGAGCCCATTGGAACTTTTGATCAGGA